CCCCCCCTCATCCCGCCGCCCCGAGGTGTGGGCCTGACAGACTGCTGCGTACGACGGTCGAGAAATGAAGCTGGAAGTGGTGGCCGACCCCCAGGGGCCAGGAGAGGCAGTGAATAGCAGCAGCGTGGCGCGGCGGCGGCGCTGGCGGCGCCCCCTACGGCAGGCTGCTGTTGCTCCCGGCCGCCCCCTGCTTTGAGCTAAAGCTTAGCGGACTTGAGCAGCACGAGCCTTCAGCAGTCCGGCCGTAGTGGTCCTCCCCTACACGCCAAACCCCCCCTTCCCTAACTCTCTCTCTCTCTCGCTCCCTCTCACTTCGAAGATCAGGTCAAGGGGTCTCGCCTGGGGGAGGGCACACCATTGCCGGGAATCGCCTGCTCCCGCCAGGACCCTGGATAAGGTCCCTCCAGGGGCTGCGGAGAGGGTTCGGGTGGGGAGGAGGGTCGGGGGCGGCCGCGGGGAGAAGGGCCGCGTGCTTAGTCGTGTAGAAAAGGACCTCACATCCCCCCTCCCCCCCTGGCAGGCGCGGCCAAGGCACGGCTCGCCTGCAGCGTCAGCATACCGCCCTGAGTGAAACACACATCAAGACTTACTCCTGAAGGTGAGCCCGCCCCCGCGCGTCCGTCCTGAGAATAGAGAGGTTCGAGGGAGGGGGGAGGGGGTGGCTGCAAGGCAAGGGGCCTGGCGGCGGCCGCTTTGAGGAGTCGCGCAGCCGAGCAGGCGGAAGGGAAAGTTGTTGAACTTAAAAGAGGGTCCTCCTCGCACGGAGCACCACCCATTCCTGTGAAGTCAACCAAAGTCCGACCCGCATTCTGCGGATTTGTGGGCTCGTGATGGTCGGTTTATTGTCAGCGTCCTTCCCCCTTTATACCGGCGGTGTGGAGGCCGAGGCGGGGGGCCCCGCTGCAGGCCAGCCAGCAAATCCGAGCGCGCGCGTGGGAAGAGAAGAACCCACCCTCTACTATATCGTTAGCTTTCGCATTGCACCAACGCCACTTTCAAGTTTTAACGTAAGCATAAAACCTCCTCCTCCCCCAACCCCTTCTCCCCGTGATCCAGGACGACCCGCGAGAGCGCAGGGGGCGCGCGCGTGGGCGAGCTCTATAGAAAGAGAGAGAGAGAGAGAGAGAGGGGGGGGGGGAGAGAATAAACTTTATTGCATCAAGTTGTCCCGGGCAACCCCCGACATATAATAACGATAATCATGATTTTGTTTTTCGAGTGTTTCTTGTCCTTGCTTGCCGTGTTGCCCGACTTACCTACTACTGTGAGGATCGCGCCCGCTATCAGCATTCTGAAGGGCTCGACGGTCACCTCGCAGGTCACGTTGCCGGCAAGGGCATGGTCCACGTTGGTCAGCACCACCTGCGTGGCGTTGGAGCGACTCAACTGTAACAATCGCCAACACAGAAAATGAACACAAAGGTTTGCAAGATTCAATATTCGGTTTCATAATCAGCGTTAAAAAAAAAACACACACACACACAAAAGTAACTTACGTCAACGTTGATCGGGACTTTCCCAATTGCGAAGACCTTGGTCTGCGGCTTCTCGGATGCGAAGAAGCGAAAGAACTCCCGCTGGCCACGGTAGTACTTGACAGAGTACAGCTTGGTGTTCTCCAGGTCGTAGTTGCAGACAAGCCGCGCCTGCTGACCGCGCTCCACGGCCGGAGGGTGGACACTCAGGGTCACGTCCCGCAGGCAAGCGCCGCCTGGAAAGCAAACAAACAGGACAAAATGTAAACAAACAATTAAGATGATTACCACGTCTAAAAATTTTATGACTTTTGAATATTTTTCTACAATGATTTTGGCTCAGTTCCTGGATTACGACAAACACTTTGTTGAAAGTTAACAAAAAAACAAAAAAAACAAAAACAAAAAAAAACGCACAGCGCTGGTGTGCGGCAAACTTGGAAGGGAGTGTGCAGAGTCAACATCCTTGGCTACTTAGTCGCTGGATTGGGATCTGCTCAGACGCTGCTCTTGGCCGGGGGCTGCCTCTCTCATTGGCGCCGCTGGCGGCCGCTGGCCGGAGGGGGACTGGACTTATGTTGCCAGCACCCTGCCAGGGGCTGCCATGGGGCCATGGGGCTGCCAGGCCAGCGCGCCGGTCACGCCCATAGGGTGTCTTTATCGGTTCCATAACTCACTTAAAACGCGCAAGTTCTGTTTGCCCAACTTACGGTTTAAATCGGAGGAGAGGGGCGCCTTTTCCTCGGGCAGCCAGAAGGAGTAGTCGCGAGAAACTTTTCGGCGCCACCCCGCCCCGTCCGGCGCGGCGGTGAGACAGGGAAGACAGGGGGAGGAAAGGGGGGAAGGGGAGAGCTAAAGAGGAACCGGTCAGAGGAGCGCGGCCTTCCGGATGTTCAATGTGAAGATAGTGAGAGTCATTCGGGGCAAGCCAAAAGAGAACATCAACAACGTGTAGTCGTTGGAGGCGAAGGAAGACCTCACATGAACCCGCAGCCGCCCACATCATACATGAGCACGCACGACAACAACTCAAGGACGGGGTTTTACCCCTCCACAACGACCTTCCCACAATAATTTTCAGTAACAGGGCGCAGTCCGCGTGCGCGCGCGCTCCGCCGAGACTTTTTCACGCACCCCGCTCTGCTGGCTTTTATGCAAACACCGTCTCTTTCTTGTTCATCCAAAACGCCTTTTTTTCCTGCCCCACCCCTCCTCCCCTCCGCTGGCAGCGCTCGGCCAGACGGCCCATTCTGCGTATGTTTTATTGCGAGTCTGACAAGCTGGTGCTGCCTGGCTCCCCCTCCCCAAACCCGGCTGACCTCCGCCACTACAGCCTCGTTTGTGTGCCCACGTACGACACAGTTAACAGAGGTCACGTGGCACTTCAAAGGGCCTAACTGCCCCATGCGCCCCTGTGTGCAGATACCGTCTTCACTACCCTCCCCCACCCAACAGTGGCGCCCCGCTATCCAGAGAGGGACAAGGTTACGGTACAGTGAGGACAGGTCACCTCAAAGAGCAGCCGGAGCGTACAGCTGCTACCTGCTGGCAGAGCTGGTAGAGCGCAAGTAAATTACTTTTCGAAACGTCACTGTAGTTTCTGTCTTTGGGGCAAGCGAATGTGATTTGCTGCTCTGACACGACCACCGTTTTTGCCTCTTTGTTTTTGCTGTTATTGTATTCAGTGCCAGCGCTTGCCTGGCAATAATTTCAAATAAACACATCTCTTCCATTCCGCACGCTACAAAGCCTTTTACTGTTTTTTTGTCAATGTAAAAAACATTTTCGTGATGTGCGTCGCAGACAAAACAAAGAGGGAAAAGGGGACCACTTAGCGAGGATGTGCGTGCGTGTCATCATCGTCATACGAGGATATAATTGCCGGATGGGGAAAACGCTGCATCCTCGAGTGCGCTTGCGCAGCGCCGGGGACACTCGAGGACGTACGAGGAAGGGTCGCGCGAGCACACTCGTCGTGTCCCCTCAGCCCCCTCACCCCTCTCTCCCTCCTCCTCCTCCTTCGCCGCCGCCTTCTGAACTTCTGCCAACAACCTACTTTTGGGCAACCCCACAACCCCGCCCAGACCAGACCAGTCCCCTATCCCATCCCGCTGCCGGGGACGCCGAGTAGGAGGAGGAGGAATCAAGTAGTCGTCGGGGACGGCCAGGCCACTTTTTGTACTTAATACTCGAGGAAACATTTCCCCGCGCGCGCGCGCGCTCGGAAAAGGAGAGGGAGACACATAGAGAAAAGGATAGAGCGAGGGAGAGTAGGGGGAGAGAAGACGACAGCGAGAGAGCAATACCTTCGAGCATAACTCCTGATGTGCGGGGGGGGGGGGGGGGGGGGCCCCCCCCCCCCCCCCCCCCCCCCCCCCCCCCCCCCCCCGGGCCGGCGGGGGGGGGGGGGGGGGGGGGGGGGGGGGGGGGGGGGGGGGGGCAGCCCTCCCCTACCACCCCGCTTGGACACCAGCCACCGCGGCACTAAGTGCGTCCACACCGCCCCGCGGCCCCGCTGTCGCACTGCTCCCGCATATCGTACCGATTACTAAAAGCGTCATCTCTCTCTCTGTGTCAGCCACCCTGCGCTCCACCCCGCCTGCCCCCCCCCCCTCCCTACCAGCGCGCAGCAGCGGCTAGGCGAAAAAGTCGAACGTATTTCTGTGTGTTTTTTCGCCCTCTCTCTTCTCCAAGCGACGGTGGCGGCGGCCAGCGCAACCCTCGCCGCCACAACGAACGACATCGGCGGCACACAGCGGAAGCAGCGCGGACGCGAATCTTCGCAAATCGCTCCGAGGCCATGGCGTGCATAGGGAGAGAGGGAAGAGGCCCCAGAGTGCGGGGGCCTCGCTCGCCCGCGCCGATCGCTTCTGCTGCCCGAGGAATTTCTCCTACTTCCGGGACGTCGAAGAGTAGCGGGGGTCGAGGAGGAAGGGGGTTCTTCGCAGAGCAGGACGATTTTCAGCGGCTAATGGGACCACGAGAAAAATGTTGTAGTCGCGCGGCGTTTGGCGGTGGAAGTTTTGGGTTTGCCGCCTCCATAAAGTATAGTGGCCGAAAAAAGAAAGTAGAGAGGGAAATTTTTGCGACCGAAGCGAGGGACGGGCCCTGCCGGAGTGCTGAGCCATATATTAGGAAAGTGTTTGTTGTATTTTCGGAAGAACGAGCTTGTATGCTGTCGCTGCTCTCCTCTCCGTCAGCGACGCGAATTGCCCGATTCTTCCGAAAGATTCACCGCGGAGAGCAGCGAGAAGTGGCAAACATACGCGCCTGCTTGTGCGGCGGGCGGCGGGCAGCAGCGATGTGTTTTGGCCTCATCACGGACGCACTTTTACAACCCAACAAACAACTCATTTCCATGTGACAAAGGGGCGGACCCTGCTGCCGCTGGGCCGGAGGGTCGGGGCGGCGAGCAGGCAGGCGGTTAAGAGAAGGGGCGAGAGTTGGAAGGGCCTTTGGCGGGCCACAGATGGGCGGGTCGGGAGAGCAGAGCGGGACGATGGCAGGGAAAAAAGAGATTAGGGGAACGGGGAGGGGAGTAGGCAGGCCAACCCAGTGGGGAAGAACCAAGGAGCAAAGTCAGATGTGCGATAGTGGAGGGGGTTCCGCTAACGACTCCTCATGGACCGATAATTACCAAAACGTCGGGCAGACAGCCAGGTGTCTCAAGGTCATATTAAGGCAAAATTAGCGCCGCATTTCGACAAAATTGGCTGCGATCGTGTTTTAACGACAAAATGAAAAGCACGGAAGGGGGAGGGGTATCACGTGGAGGGGGTTATGTTGGAATAGAGACAAAAAGGTTGCACGGGTGTACACGAGCCACTGTCACTCAGAAAACCGTTTCCTTGAGACTAGGTAATTTCTTTGAAATCAACCTTGAATCAAGAAAATTAACCTAAAATGAACAAAAAGAAAAAAAATTCCTTGCTTTAAGGAAATATTTTCCTGAGTTTGAAAAAAGTCTTTAACTTAAGGAAATTTCATCGTTAAGCCAAAGAAATTGCTTTGAAACAAGAGAAACATTTCCTTATGTTATTTCAAGGAAACGATTTTCTGGGCCTGAGTCTTCTAAAGAAGGCGTTAAAACGACAGCGATGACATGCGTTTGTTTTATTTTGGAAAGAAGGGGATGGGGCAGTTGGAAGCTTGCGCGCCTCGCACTCAGAGTCAGGAAAGCATTTCATCCGCGGAACAAAAACGAAAACCAAGAAATTTTTCTTCCATAAAACAGATTTTGATCGCCCAGCTGATTACATGATATTATTCATGTTGATAGGGTGTGATCAGCTTGACAATGTTTTTGTCCACCTGATCATATTTTGATTAAAATTCTTCAAATGCTTAGTTGGATTCAGGGAGTAAATTTTCATTGATTCAACACTTTTTTTTTTGGTCGCATTATGACAAAACGCTTTTCTTGGTGCGGTTTATTTGAGCGCATACAATGCGAGGGAGGGTAGACTGCTTGTATTGCTAGCCCGTACGCAGGCGAGCCGCTCGGACGAGATGGGGTGTACGGGGACGGATGTATCTCCATCAGAGTGAGGAAACCATTGTGTCATGTCACGATGCCAAGCTTCGCTCGCTACGTTGCGCCTGGCGGGGCCCGGCGGGGCCCGGCGGGGGCCCTCCCCCAGCTGCCACGCCGCCGCGGCCCCCTCCGTCACCGCCCGCAAGCGTTTTGTCTGCGGGGAGAAAGGTGTCGCGGAGACGACTACCCCCGGGCACGGCCCCGGCGCAACCCCTCCCCCGCCTGCACGGCCGGAGATTTGTATCCAGAAGGGCGGCAGCGGGAGCGGGGGCGGCAACGGGGGCGGCACAATGAAAGCCGCGTCACGGCCGGGGCACGCTGTGCCCCGCGTGGCCGCCTCTCCATGAGCTTCACTGCGTTACACTCTTCTTCATGGGTTTATCGATACACGCCGCGCAATGCTGCGTGCGAAAAAAAACCACGCGAAACGATTGCGGTTATTCAGCAATTATTGCAGTTGCGAACGGGTTTCCTTTGTAATGCGGAAAAAAATCCATCGCGGATTTACCAAGTAGTCAAATCTTATTTACTTTGTCAGTTCAGAGTGTGTCAGTTTACTTAACTTTGGGACACTATGGTACGTGTAGGCGGAGGCGGTTTATCCACCATCCCTATGAAGCTGCCCTTTCTCTCACACCACTGTGTTGACCCCCCCCCCCCCCCCTCCTCCTCCTTCGCGCGACAAGGGGCTAAGCGGCAAGG